TCTAGATAGCCATGAATAGCCACATGGAAATGAAGCTCTTGGATTTAAGAATAAAGATGAATTGGAAACCTTAATTAGATCTGTGTCAATACTGTCGACAATAGGAACTGGTACCCAAATAGTAAGATCCATGAAAGATGGAATCGAGTAGAGAATGGGAGTAAAGTGGAATCTGATAGTGGTAAATGTGTTTGCAGGTGCCAGGTGGTTCAAGTTAACCTGATGTTGGCCCTAGGAAACCTAGATAAATGTCCATGGCCTGCAAGTTTGTTTGGAGGCTTTAGTTGCCATGTGCTGAGTGAAGAATGAATAGTTTGCCTCTGTCTAAAAAGGTGCTATTTTACCAAGGGTCCAGTTTCTGGAGTGATGTGTAATAAGCAATGGAGATGAGACTTCTCTCCTCCCTCCTCTCCTAGCAGACAGCAAAGCCTTGGGCGGTTGTGGAGGGATATGTCACAACCACATTCTTGGGTTTAACATCAATAGCTTAATAAAATGAGCAAAACAAAGGTGGTTACAGACTTAATCTAAAGAATAACATTCGTCAAGGTTTACTTTATTCCAGGGATTAACTCAGATACCATTAATCAGGTAGTTTAAAAATATATTACCTTTGTTTAATCTTCCAGTGTCCTGAGGTGTTTTTCTCTTGAATATGTTGAAGGTGTTCCCAACATATTCAGAACATTTCTTCAGGAGCTGTGAACAGCTCTATATTTTCATCCCCAAACTTTCCTTTTAATTTAAGAATTTTTGGGTATTTTTATGTATTTAGAGATATTCAAGATCTTTTCCTATACATTTTAAAGGATTTCATGAAGTGGAAGGGTATGGCTTCCTTATTAAGCATTTGATACTTTATAATTTTGGAATGATCACTAAGTGAAGTTTTAGGTATAACATACTTGAGACAAGGGCGAATCCTGAAATGGAGAGCTGTTCTTTGTAAATGTGGTGAAATATTAATTACTTATTTTTTATTTTTCTTTAGGGATATCAGGGAATTGCAGGATCACCAGGTGTTCCAGGATCTCCAGGAATACAAGTATGTGATGCTTTTATATACATTTTAGGAATCTAATTTCTAATGAACCAGAAAACATAATTAACAGAATTTTATTTTGTGGTTAATCTAGGGAGTTCAAGGACTGCCGGGTTACAAAGGAGAGCCAGGGAGAGATGGTGAAAAGGTAAACACACACAAATAAAAATGCAATGAGTGGTTTAATTACTCACAGACAAAGGATATAAGCTATGAAGGCTCCCATTCAATTCACCATGGTGAATTCCAAGATTTTTGGGCTTAGAAATTTGTCACTGGCTATTGACCAATAAAGCTCACAAAGGCTTTATCACTAGGTAAAAATGGTCATCACTGATGGCTGTCTGATAGGACAGATATTGGCATTGCCTTGATGCCATATTCTCTGTGGTTAAGCTCCACAGAGAGCTACCTTCTTAGAAAGGAGTAAATTGTATGAAAGGAATGTGTTACCATGTTAGCCTTGGATAGCCCAATACTTGAGGGTCCATCTCCACAATAGGTGTCCATCTGGCAAGTAAATGGCCTATTGGCCTAGCATTAATGGACTTTTCCCTTAGGGTTTCAATGAGTACAGACAATATTTGTATTACTGACACTCTCTCTCTCTCTTTTTTTAATAACTCAGATTTGCCAAGCTTCCTATTCAAGTATATGTTCTTTAAATATGTTAAATACGTTAGTACCTTCCCATGGATCTAGTCAATACCTACTGGCCCTGGTGGCTAGTCCATGTCTAAGATGCCCACCATTTATATTTGCTCAGATCCCCATGTTGGTTTGTTGACTTAATTTCTAAAGTACAGTCTTATTTGCAAAGTCTTTGAAGGCATTTTGCTGTTTGCTGATGCTAAAAACCTACAGCAATTTTCTAAGTGCCATCTTTCCAAAATTCTTAACCTTATTAAAATAATGTACACAGCATTCGTAACTGAGATACGGTGATCTAGACTATATCCATTTCATGTTTTTATGGTTGCTTATGCTTGTTGCAGAAAATTTTAGCTGTTAAAAGTACCACATCAAATGTGATGGATCTGCTACTTTCATGCTATTTGATCTTGGGCAAGTTACTTAATGTCTCTGAATCTTATTTTCTTTGTTGACAAAATGGGGATTTTTAAAATGGGGTTAAATGTGAGAATTAAACAAGATAATATATGAAAACAACATAGTATGGTTCCTGGCATAGGGATTTTTAAAAAATAAGTGGTTATTTCTCTTGTTCTGTCTTGTTCACCAAGTAGCATCGTGGTAGTTGGGGTATAGCATGGGTTGAGCTGGCATAAGTCATGAGCAAATCATGGCTAAGAGTGGTCACCAGAGCAAACAGGAGGGTTAGTGACTGGAAAAGAAACAGAGAAGATGGAATAGGTAACAGTAGATTTTCAATATGGGGAGAATTAGAGGAGGTAAAGCAGAAGCAATAGTCAATATAATTCCCAAAGCAGAAGTATAAAATCCTCTTGTCCACAGAGTGGCTCTGGGTCTTTATGAGTCTCTTAAGCCACTGAGCAATCTCTGCCAGTTTAAAATGATGTGGGAATCTTTAGAGATAGCAGGAGCAGGCCAGGCCACAGGAATGGGAGATGTCTTATATATCCATGCTCTGGGGGTGTCATGGGAGATAGTCTGACCACCTTCAGGTGAAAGGGGGATTATACTGAAGGGTAAGGATACCCGCTCTGAGGAGACCATGCGCCGGGTGCCTCACCTGCATTCTAGTCTGCAGGATCACTGCTGTCTCTTTGTAGTCTCACAAACAGCCTGCTTTTGGAGAAAACAGTGTATGAAAGTGTGTTTGTGTGAATGAATTAATGAATAAATTAATTTTTCCTTTTAGTTGAGGTTTTTATTTATACTTTGAAATTGACAGATAAAATTATATGCATTTACTGTGTACAACATGATTTTTAAAGTATTTATACATTGTGGAATGACTAAATCTAGCTAATTAACATATACATTACCTCACATGGTTATCATTTTTCTGGTGAGAACATGTTAAATCCACTTTTAGCATTTTTCAAGAATGTAGTATATTGCTAATTATAATCACCATGTTGTACAATAGATCTCTTGAACTTATTTGTCTTATCTAACTGAAATTTCACATCCTTTGACCAACATCTTTTCAACACCGCCTGCTGCACCTCCCCAACCATCTCAGCCTCTGGTAACCACCATTCTACTCTCTGCTTCTATGAGATCAACGTTTTTAGAGTCCACATGTGAGTGAGACCATGCGGTATTTGTCTTTCTGTGCCTGACTTATTTCACTTAACATAATGTCTTCCAGGTTCATCCATGGTGTTTCAAATAATAGGATTTCATTCTTTTTAATGGCAGAATAGTATTCTATTGTGTATATATACCACATTTTCTTTCATTTATCCATCGACAGATACTCAGGTCGATTCCATAGCTTGGCTGTTGTGAATAATGCTGCAATAAACATGGGAGTGTAGATATTTCGTCAACCTACTTATTTCATTCTTCAGTTGAGTTTTAGAGAAAAAAATATAAAAAGGCGGCTTTTTATTTATACACCTTAAAAAGAATTGAAATAAATTCTGTGGAAATAAATTTACGTTATTTAAAAATAAAAGAACAATCATTCTAGTAGTGGCATCTTAACCTACTGCTTTATTGTTTGGGGTCATTGTGCTGTCTTTTCAATATAGGTGTGTGAATTTTACAAAGTCATACATTTTACTAGATAAGGTAAATAAGATGCATGTTTATGCAAAGGTCTCTGTTTTCAGACCAGTAATGATTTCATTCAGAGCTGGTTATTTTCCCAAGTTCATTGTTGGGGTTGAACAGATTTGACACAGTCATTGCGGGCCTAAAATCACCATGTGCTACCTTCCAAGTTCCATCCTCACATTCCCTGTGGCTTCTGAAAGTTCTTTACCCAGAGTTAAAATAATTCAGAAGTTAATTAAAGGTTTTTGCTTGATTATTCTTTCATAACATGGTTCCTTGATTTCAGTAATGGGAAGGTTAAAAAAATATACCCCAGAAACAGCTTTGATTTGTGGCAATGCAGACATATTTTTTCCAGGCCTCTTATAGTGGCCTTTGGGAGATTGTTCCACACAATACTGTTCTCCATTAGGATATTTTCCCAGAATAATTTCCATTTTGTGGATTTTCTCTAAGTCTCCCACAGAGGAGTTTCCACTTAGGATAATTAAAATTAGATGTACTTTCTTGCTGACTTTAACTTTCATTCTTCACATAAAAGACAATAGAATGTGTATATATTTTGCAGGGTTTTATTTTTAACTAAATTCACAAAGTCAAAAGGAATACTTAGCAAATGGTCTTCAATTGGTAACTCATTTTATTACATGCTTTAAAGCTATTGTTTGAAACCTAAAAATTGCTTTAAATACTTTAAAATAGTTCCTGAACCTTAAGGAAACCAAATATATTTCAATTGTATGGAGGAATATATTTTGATAAAACTTATAGTAGGCTGTGTTGGTTAATATGTAGGTATGAGTTTTCAAATTGAGTATGAAACTCTTCTATGACAAATTCAATTCTAGAGATGAAGGAAGTATTAGTTTATTTTTTTTAACCTATTTGGACTTTGTACAAACTCATTACTCCATTTTTCTGGGCTTAAGAAATAAAATTTATTAATTATGTCTAAGGTATTATTGGAAAAATTATACATTTATTTTCTCTTTTTCTTTTTGTTTATTATTTCTTTTTTTTTAAATTTCAGAATATTATGGGGGTATAAACATTTTTGTTACATATATTGCCTTTACATCTTTGTTAGAACATATAGCATTTAAGAGTTCCCTTCAAAAACCTCACTTTCTCATTGTGCTCAGCATTCAGACTAGGGTGTCATGTGATGGGTGAGACTTTCCTACCTAAGTCCCTTACTTCTGGGCTTCCAGCATCAAAAGACGAAGTGGCTTTACAACAATTTCTATTATACAGTCAATCACAATCAAGGAACTCCAACATATATTTTGAGAGAACAGTAATAAAGAACCAAGCTAAACATGTTGTTAGGGAATAATATGTTAGAACTTACTACGTTAGTGGTGATACTTCTTGCAGTATTCTTGAAGACCAAAAAACAAAAAAGTTTACAAAATTAAAACAAAGCCTATAGTGGCATAGGAAGGAGAATAGAACTGGCTTAGCAAAGTTGCCTCCTTGTTCTGCTTTTTCAAAAGGGAGAATAATGTACCTATGTAGCTTTCTGATAGCACGATCCCCCCAAACACTAGCGCACCCACGCGCGCATGTATGTGTATGTGTGTGCTGTATGCATATGAGAGTAGGGTGCTTACAGAAGTTACAGGTTACAGGCTTGGTTCTGAATTCAGACAGCTTAACTCACAAGTTGTGCTTCTTAATCTCTTTAAACCTGGTTTTTATCATCTAGAAAGTGGAGGTTACAATATTATATCATAGGCTTTCTATGAAGATTAAACGAGGCCATGAATATGCTTGTCCTAAATTAAGCACTATAAATTAGTGATGATGGTGATAATGATGGTTTGTTATTGGAACCACCATTCTGATTACCTAAGGTAAAAATTTTGGAAGTAGTTTTGGTTTATGCTTTATCCTTTCTCTAGCTGTTGAAGTGCCCCATCTGAAACAATCAGACAGGAATTTTACCCTCTCACTTGCATATGTACCTATATCTGCCCCTCTTCCTGCTAATACGGGTGAATTGTCCATATATAATCTATAATCCCGAAGCCTTCTTTTGTGTCCTAGATCCCATCTTTCTCTGTTACTTTGTGTTATTAACCAGCCCTTCTCTTCTGTGTCGTGTGTTTTTTCTTTTCCTGTTAAATTTTCTCAATACTCCAAAGGATGACCCATCTGAAACCAACCAAACAAAACCTTCCTTCCTCCACGGTATAGCCTCCTTCAGCTGCCAGCCTACTTCTGTTTCTTAACACAGTATTAGCACTCCAAAAGGCTTGCCTTTATTCTCTTGACCTTTTCAGACCACTCCAGTCAGACTTCCATCCCGACTTTCTCCTGCATATTTAGATCACTAGTCTACAGTCTTTGGAATCTAGTAGTCAGTCTTTTTCAATTATCTCTTCCTGTCTTTATGTCTCAACAGCCTTTGACACAGTTGACTATTCCCTCCTTCTC